ATTTATTATAATATATTAAATTTTTAGAAAAAATTACGTTTTAAACACTGAAAGATACTGTATCTTCACGCTAATTAATTGCTATTTATTGATTAATCAATCGTTATATGGACGAGTTTGTAACGTATATGAAATTTACAATATTTAATTTAAAATTTTGTTATTGTTTTCTCAAATGTAAAAATATTTCAATTTTGTCTGATGTATATCACAAAAATTATACTGTCTATGCATAGACATACATATAAATTCTGTAACTCTAATAGGTACTGTATTTAAATGCCTTACGTGATAACGCGTGCTGAGTTTTCATAAAACATGTGAATAATTTTGTATGCATGTGTGTCAAGGTTAATGCAACTTTAAAACACGGAATATGCGTTCAAAAAAGAGATTAGATATCTATTTGAATTAGGATTATGTTGAGGATAGGAAATAGAAATAAGGTTATTATGTGCGGTTTTGATTCATTAAGGTTAACAACAATTTTTTGTACCTGGACTTTTTATTTGTTCAATAAACTCTGAAACCTAAAACTCAAAACAAAAAAAGTCATTTAGGTAATAACTAAAATGTATCTTGTTTTGTTTACCTCGTCATGCTTAAGCGAGCAACAGTAGATAAAGTTGCAGTTCAAGTTGATCTCTAGATTCGAATTAATTACGAAAAGTACATACTTTTATTGAGTTCAGTCATGTGACGACTCACGAGGCAAATATATGTATAATAAAGAACAATAAAATTGCACCGATTCTGTTTTAATACAGTCACATGACGGATAAGTCTTTATGATGTACAATAGTCGTTAAATTATTATCTTATCAATCAAATGCCACGATTCATGTAATGTAAAACTGCGAATTATAACACGAGTTATAAACCTTATGGGAGTACATTTTTTTTTGTGAGGTGTTAAAATTTATACGACTATAATTTTTTTACTACCTTTTTTTTTGATATCGATAAAGTTTACAAATAACTAATTATCTTTCACAACCGTCTAGAGATAAGAATTTTGAACAAACAAGAAATTAAATTTCTTCGACAAGTCCTTGGGTCGATCTAACTGAAATTTTGATTTGTGCTTCTTTGGTCTTAATTTGCATTTTTAAATCGTTAAANAGGTAATCTTAATTGTAAATTATCACAGATCCATTCGATGTTCTCAATGTTCAGACATCTAATAGTTTATTTATTATGTAGGTAACAATTTATTTTTTAATTAATCCATTTTTGAAAAGAAAATATTGCACTTACTATGAATGTAACTGAATAGGGTAGGTTAGTTAAAAGTTATAATTATACGCTCTTATTGTAGTAGTAAATAAATAAAAATACAACTGCACATTGAAAGATAAATAAAATCAACAATTTGTGGTTATTTAGGAAATAATTTAGATATCAGTGTAAATGTTTATTATCAAGTTTAATCACTTGCGGCGAAAATAAGGTCGAAATTTCAACCTTCAGGGAATCATTTTGACCGCCGGCTGCCACATTTTTACATAAAAATTATGATGATAGCGCTAGATAATTTATATTATAATAAGTTAATAAGTTCGCTGCAATATTTCGCTATTAAGTAGGTATTTTTGTGGCAAAATCCTTGTTTATCAAGGACTAAATTGCCTGACAATAACATAATATTTACTGGAGATACAAATTAAAAATCCTGCAAGGACGTAAAAGAGTGTAGAATGTTTATATATCCAAGAAAATTTTCCATATTAAACAGATAACAGAAAAGTGTGCGATTAGCCTTTTATGAATGTGCTTGGCATTTGATAAGGTACGAGTTATAGTATTTTTTTGATAAGACAGCGTAATAAATGTATGTATGTGTCTACGTAGGTTGAATTATTACAGGAAACGTAAACCTTGAATGGAAGGGATTTTATTTATTTTCAAAAAAAGCTAAAATTTCTATAAAAAAATTATGGGCATCACATTAGATATTGGGTAAAATTGGTTTATTAGACATTAATAAAATTGGTTTACTACTAATAATGGTAAATTTACTTCTAAAATAATTATAAATTAATTTTACCCTTATATACGTATACAGATAACTTTGCGAAAAGCTTTTGGTTAAACATCACCATAAATGAATAATTTCTGGCATACATTTTTTTTATAATCGTTTTCCTTTTAATATCAAAAAGTAAATAGTTAAATTGAAACTCACCCTTTTGATCTTCCTGGGCAAAACGCACATCGACGTCTTCGGCGCAAAGGCAAGAATTTCTGGTGAGTCCTGTAACACAAGCCGCTGTTGGTTGGTCCATTTTGTTCGTAAATATATATAAAATGTCAACTCAGTTTATAAATAATAAAAAGTACAATGTAGCAAAACCGCAGCGATAAAACGGAAAGGTACGAAGTAACGATTTGAATTGAATGGAGAGAAACTCTGGTGCGCTTCTTGCAATTTTTATAAGTCGAGTTGTCTTACTTAGCACATGCGTACTTTGAGCTTGTCGTCCAATACAACAGTAATGTATTGTACGTATGTACATGTATGTGTTAGTATATAATTTTAATGAACTTCATGACCTCATCACAGTCAGTCACGGGCAGGTTTCAGAATAGATGGGAAATACAGCAGAGAATGTCGATTCAAATAGAAAATTATTGTTTAGTTGTGTAAACACAAGCACATGTGCTCTACGTAGTTGTCGATTATAATGAAGAGACTTGGGCACCCTACTTTCTGGTCTAACAACAAAACGAGGTGTGGACTCAGTTGAGTACAGTACTGCGCAAAAGTTTGTACTATTTTCAAATTTTGCTGTGCATTAGTTTATCTAATTCACTAAATGTAACTATAATAATGTTCTAGCGTAAGGTTGCTTGTCTATTTGCGCCCCACTCGATTGACTATGACCAAAACATCATTTTTTGGTCAATAATTGTCAATAACAATGCCGTAAACACAATTTAACGCTTTAAAGACTAAAGATTTGTAAAATTTAATCTGACCCTATTAAGCGGTTTAAAAGATATCTATATGCGAATTAAAACGTAAAAAAAAAACAGTTTTTACCTTACAACCATAATCTATTGAAACAGGAAGCCGATAGTAAAAACGTTCTGAAGCTAATTGACGATTAAATAAATAATGAAAGGGTTGTTTAGGCCTACTGTCGATACCTCCAGGATGTTATCCTTTAATCAAAATCTTTAATTAAAAGTCAGCAATTTTGTCACAAGCTTACAAAGTAAAAATAAACATTTGGAGAAAAGTGTACGGGTCTACATTCGGGTGTATAATTGGTTGCGTTTACCTGCAAAACGTTTCATCGTCATCGTCCAAATTTAGACGAGATCAGTTGGTACTTAATAATAATAATATTCATAGGGATTAATAGGTGCATTAATAAATTATTAAAACTGTACAAAAAAAATATAGTGAATATAAAATTTTGTTTATTATAAACACATTAATGACAAAAAACCTATTCGAAGAGAATAGATTTACATTAATTTATAAACGTGATGCTTTATTTATAATAAATAACTGATCAGTTTGTCAAAACAACAAGTTAATTTACATTTTAGATTTGATATTGCTAGGCATTTTGTACAATACCGAAAGAAAAACAGGGAAGAAGCGAGTATGAATGGTACAAAAAATATTTTTTTTACGTACTTTCGCTTTGTGATTCATTTTGTTTGATTTATTTAAATATTACACGTAATGTGCATATACGTGACAAAGTTAATAAATAATTAGCGTATCTGTAATTGTTGAGGTAGTAAAATGGATTATGTTGACGTACAGTGAACCTTATATTTTATGATGTGTATTATTTTGAAGTTTACCTCAAGTTTTTACTTTCCACTAAAATTCTACACCATTATTATTATTAAAAAATTTGATCAAAGTAAAACAAAACAGTTTTATACATGTTTGTTTAGTATGTACTTATTTAAATTATTAAGCTCTAATTAGTCAATGTTATTAATGACCAAATCAAATTAAAATTTACTTTAAATTCGATTAGGGTAATTAGAGTGTAAATATTAACCAAGATAAACAATTAAAGCTTCTAACTTGTTAATAGTTTATATTGGGATTAATAAGAATTAAAATCTTGATGTAAATGCAGAAATACGTATATACGTGACTGTTGAGAGACGAGACGTTTTATCTAAAATTGTGGAATGTAGGTTTATCGAGGCATTGTAATATTGTAAATATTTACTTTACGTATTACACATAAAATATTTTATCTAGGTTTTTAATAATCGTCTTCAAATACAAATAGGGCCCGCGATTAAGTAATTAATTAACATTTTCACGAACGCAATTTTCTAGATAAAATTTTTGAGATTAATTTAATTTGTTATCATGATGTATAAATTACTTCCTAAGTAACGAATTAATTACACTTCTTAAATTATTTCTACGTAATACTTCAACTACTTTCCTACCTTTTTTTATTATATTACGCATATCAACGATGAGAAACAAACATGTAGTCTAATTAATTATCCCGTGTTAAAAACTAAAACTGAACTAACGTTAAACAATTTTTGCAATGATTGATTTTGCATGATAGTTTTTGAATTGCGTGTGTGCTGCAGTTATTGTTTCTAAAAATAATAGTAAACAGCAATAAATGCACATTCTTTTGTCGATAAACAATTTAAAAACGTCAACAATAAATTAAAACTGCATTTTGACACACAAAAGATCATCTTCAGTCCGTTTCTGAATGAATGTTTCGTTTAATTTAACTATCTGCTAAAAAGTAACTTTTTGAATGTAATCATGTTTGATATTTGGATTTTAAATCGACGTTTTCTACGAGCAATTGAAATTAACCGTTATTCTATTGTTTTCTGAATTTCTAATTTCGATTGTTCTTTTTGCTATCGCTCAAACAGTTCAGGAATCACTTCAAACGATAACTTAATTTTATTGTACACGTATTGCTAATATTTTAAACGGTACACAAAATAACAATGGAAAAATCCAGTCATTAAAAAAATTTTGATTTATGACACAACGTAATTTTACAAGTACATATAATAATCTAAGCGTTCGAGTATGTGCCGAAAAATATAATAACTTGTCTGCTTTTATCAATTAATTAATAGATCGAGACTATTTTAATTAAAAAAATCAACACAAGTGTAGAATATTTATCATCATTATAAGGTCGTCAGTCCTAAGACTGGTTGGACACGCACTTTCACTCATTTCTATCCTGAGCTATTAGAATATATGAGTAGAATATTTAATGAAAGTATAATATATGTCAGCGTTATCAATTTTAGGAACCTTTTGCTACTTAACTTCTTCATCTTGATGCGTTTTTCATAAAGGAATATCGAGAATGCTTGATAAAAATGAACTTATCTTTCCTTTTTCAGATTGTCTAAAAAAGCGTTGAAATTTAAAGGCGAGATATCAAAGTTTAGCCGTTGTTTTGAGTCATTTCTATTATTTTTTTTATTTCAAATTATGCACCTATTAATTCATGCCAGCAAGCAAGTAGAAAATGCTTCTAAAATTTATATGGAAAAATAAAATGATAATTATTTAATAACTGCTAAGTAAACATAAATTGGTATATCGAATAAAAGTTGGATTTATCCGATTGTTATTATGCATTCCCTAATTAAGCTTGCGCGTGTTACGCCTTTGTTCTTGGCCTATCGTCTGGCCGAACGAACATTGACGAACGTTCACGAACACGTAGCAATGAGCATCAATTCCGCTCCCTCGCGCTCTAGTCGTTCGTCATTGTTCTCGAAAGTGCCAACGCATTGCTTTATCGTCAACGTCCACAATTGTGAAGTGTGTGCCTTTAAAAAAACAACAGAATACCAATTAAAAACGGAATGATGTTCACGATGGAATGGACGAACGATATGTGTTTAGAACTGATTGCGGCGTATCGCGAACGCCCAATGCTGTGGAATTCGGATCATCCATGTTTCAAGATATCGAGTAGAAAGATCGCGGAGTGGGATGAGATCGCCGAGCAGCTCAAAACCGACGTGGAGTCGATAAAACGGAAAATATCGTCGTTGCTGGCGTCGTACAGGAGAGAGCGCCGCATGCAATATGAAAAAAGGGGCTACCGGTCGTCATGGTTCGCATACGAAAGCCTGGACGCTTTTCTACACGATCGATACAAGCGGAAATTCATGCTAACGCCAGAGAACCGCTCGAACTCTTCACAACCACCTTCAGAGGTAACTTGAACGGCGATTTTCTTGCTTTTTTTTAATGGAAATCTATTGACAGACAGACGAAAAGGGCGCCGGGGTGAACTAGCCCCAGCTGTTAAGGGCGCCCATATTATCCCACAATTCGTTAATTCATGTCTTTCAACGTATAATTATATCAACATTAGGTACACAAATTAAATTAAAAATTTAAAAGGCGTTTTGGCAACCAAGGTCCTGGCCTCGGTGGACGATAACTAACATTAGAAACGCGTTCTAAGTTTTTAATTTTGAAATCAGTCGGCGTTTTCGTTTAGACAATGCGTGAATAATTGATACAAATATATTCACAAACAGTAATTTGATAGTTTACATGTTTACATGTACTATAGTAAAATAGAAAATGTGTTTAATGTTCTCATATTATAAAAATGTAAATTACGACATACTCGATGATTTTCTACTAAAATTGCAGTTATTTTCTAAAACAGTTTCTTCAACTGTTAAACAAAACGTACCTGTGCAACATTATATTATAAATATCAACAAACAGAATAGCTCAAAAAAGTTTACTTCAGTCCCTGAAGAAGGTAACTTTGTTACCGAAAAGTGCTTCGAACAACTACAGTGTCTTGTTTTGGCGTTGGGGTTTTGAGCTATTCTGTTTGTTCTACAACAACCGCCAAAGTTTTTCCAATCTTCATATTTATAAATATCAAGTTCGATTTTTTAAAATAATTGTCTATGAAAAGTGTAGCGGTTGCCACCCGTACTTTATTATAAAGTATTGTACTCTATTTCGACTGTGCGTACGTTATATTTTACAAGTCACATAAAGTACGCAAAAATACTTTATTTAAGGCCTTGAGTAAACATCGTAATGTTGTAAGCGATTATTCGAAATTCAGAGTATTTTTACATCAATAATATTGCACAATACAATATTTTTGAGAATGTTGCTATGTTTCTGAACGCTAGTTTCATTGACAAAGCCATATTTACGGAACAACCTGATTTCTCAAATCTGTTCAAAGTAGTGTCACTTTTGCTGTCCGTTCCGGCCACTTTAGCATTTACAGAAAGAGTATTCTCTGTTATGAACGCAAAGTGGTGGGACGACAGGAATAAAGCTTCATTAAAACTATTTGAAAATGAACTTTTAGTTTACTTAAATCTTTGTTTTAAATGTTTATAGGCTATTAATGTATTTAAGAGCGGCAGCAATTTGTTACTGGCTGCTAGGTTTAACAAAAAATTTGTTTTTAAAAACAAAAGATAAAATACTTTATTTTTATGCAGAGTACTTTTTTTTGAACCTTTTAGTCGAGAAATACTTAATGTAAAGCCTGAAAAGGTGGCAACCCTACCTGTATCCCTCAATTGTCTATCGATAACTAATAATCAAAGTTCAAACTTCATTTTATTACTATTGTTTGAGCTTTATTTCATTTAGAAAAAGCTCAAGAAAACCGCCAGTGTGTTTCGTATTCAAAACGGTACCTACAATACGTAATCTACAAATACAAATGGCGAATATTTTTCACACAGATAGAAACTAGAGCCGAACCCCTGCTTGAGGCGGATTATGAAGACGATGCAGATTTAACAGGAGACTACCAAAACATAAAAACAGAGGGGTTGGATTTGGACTTAGAAGTCGCGCATACCGTAGACGACCCTAGACCTCTAGATGACACCCTGTACGACCCTTTAAGAAGGAACCCGAAGCGTCTCTTAGCGTCCACATCTAGTAATAAATCGTTGCTAAAACGAAGACGACCTTTAGTCAATGACGATTTATTATTAGACGTTCCACTGCGATATAGCGGGGATGAATGCACAGCTTTTGGCCATTATTTAGCTTGTAAATTAAGGGAGTACGACCCGTACACCAGAGCTTTGGTGCAGCATCGTATTAATAATATTTTGTTTGATACTGATGTCGGAAAGTTAAACTTAGATGAAAATAATTCGGTGCAATTTGACGACGAAGCCAGTGTTTCGGCTGCCACGTCACCTCAGACTTCAAAAATTTAATCGTTTTTTTATATTTTTCAATCAAACAAGAAAAATCAATCTAATTCAAATTTGTTTGTTGTTTGTTGCATGGTTAAAAAGACAATAACGGACTAATTAGTTTACTGTCTTGTACAGTAAGAAATTAGCCATTACTTATTAATTACTTTCTGTGGATTTTTTTATGTTTGAATATTTGACATTAAGTTACGAAAACCAAAGTAATGTTTAATACTAATTGTAGTACCTAATCGAAATGTAAATTCTTGTGTACTAAATACAGAATCTATTTTGAAATATTTCTTGATTTAATGTTACAACATTTTTTACAGTTTTCAGCAAAAGTATTGGTACCTAGTGAAATAGAACAAAAGACTTGTGAATTTCAAAATCACATTAATTATATATACCTAATTATTGTTTCATCGCACTTTGTTCATGAAATTCACAAGTCAATACTTCTTATGTTACTTCATTGAAATGGATTTTCATCGGGTAAAAATAGATAGATAACATGGATACTTTAATAATGAATTCATTCGTAGAAGTCTTATAATATTTTATTTTTCTTAGGTAGAAAAAAATTACTTACTTTCGATATTCGGTCGGGACTGTGTTAGCTTTAGTTTCTTTGCTGATGGCTCTTTATCAACGCTTTCTTCCTTAGTTTTTGTTTCACTTCCCAATTTTCTCTTATTTTTCGAAGAACTTCCCTTATGTGATACTTTGGCCGTTAATTCCTTACTGCTACAATTATTCTGATAACCGTTCTTTCTATTTATTTCTTCATTTGTGGTCGATTGATTTTGTTCATTGTCTTGGCTGTCATATTTTTTCATTCGTTTTGCTACGTTATCGTCGGAAACACAGGGCTTTGGTTCGGCCATGATCATAACAATGTTAAAACTGTTAACTGTTCTACATGTACGAACGGTCAAGAAAGTATTGTTTCTAATAATGATATCTGGGAAACGTAATTCATATAGTTTTTTTTAAATCTTATCGGGGCTTTTAGTGGATATCGTTTATCAATCGTAAATTCTGGAGCTTTTATGCAGTTGCTAAAACTATAATAAGAAACGCTTTGATTTAAGATTACAGAATCCATAAAATTTGTTAGTATGTATGTATTTACAATAAGTATAGGCCGATAAACAGAGGCGTATTAAAAAGTTATTACAATTGGAAAACAGTATTACAAATTGCAATATAAAGGTTTGACTATGGAATATTTTATAAATCAGACAGTACGGGATTTGTTACTATCAGGTGCAGTTTGTTGATTTTATGAAACATTTTATCACTGTTTTTAAGCTGTGGGATTCAAAAATATAAGATGCAACTTTATTACTGGTTGCCACATGACTTGAAGTCACATGCTTATTATCAAGAAGGATTTACGTTCTAGGTTTTTTTTGTAGCTGAAGCACAGCATAGGATAACATTAAGATAGTGTGCATAATAAATTTAAAAAAAAATCTTATAAGAAATTAAAGCTTTTTTTGAGGATAACATTATTATTGTTAAAAACGTTTGGGGTTTATATACCTATCGTCAGCTTTGAAAATTTATGATATTTTTTAAGAAATATTAATACTTTGTGTATATTTGACGATCAAATAATTAATTTTTCGAGAAATATAAAGATCGAGTATTCTTTATTTCAATCAAGACTCAAAAATTGTTTTCATCATAAGATTTCGTCTACATTTTCATGCGTTTTTCATCTTCTGTAGTTTCCTAAATGCTAAATCATACAATACTAGCAATTTACTTGATGCCTATTTTTAATTCTTGTATTAAGGGTGTTTGGGAGGTACAATCGGAGACAAGAGTACATAAAATTAGAAATTCGTGATTAATTAGGTTTTGCAGCATATCATGAGGTAAATAAATACTATCTATACTAAAAAAAAGTATACGGTTTGAGAGAAAATTTGGAATTTGACCAAAAACTTTGAATAAAATAAGAAATAACGAATAATATGGAAAATTTTTAACTGACTTTTGGCAGTGAATATGCCTTGATTTCAACTTCGAAACAAAAAAATATTTAGTTTCAATCTCTATTAATAATGAGCGTAAAACTTTTTAATATGTTTAAATAATAATTAAAACTTTAAAATTGCATTTATTTCAGACAATTATAAATATTATCATTATATTATCAAGTAAAAACGAGATTTTCAGCTAATTTTTCATTTTTTCCTCGATAACCATTTAGTGAATTTGAATAACCTTACGCTAAAGTGATTCTCCAGAGTTCAAGTTACTTATTATAAAAGTTTGAAATTTCTGGTAGCTTTTTTTCTGTTAATAAAAATAAATTTAATCTGTTCGGTTAACGAATCTCCATAAAATGACGTGTAAAATTACAATTTTTTAAAATTTCAATAACTTTTTAACGGTTTAGTGAATCGATTTGTAATTTTTACAGGAGTTTTAGAATTGAATGAGGAACGTTCTTCCAAATTTTTATTTGTCTCGTAGCATTTTGACATACCTCCCAAACATCCTTAAAGATAAACAGGGCAGTTTCTTGAGAGAACTTATTTGTTAGTATTCATATTCAAGGTAATAATAATATTTGGTTGCTATTCCACAATAATATTTATATGTAAATAGTATTTAACGTCTCCTGTGAATGTCAAAATTTGAAGTTTGCATTTCCGAGTAAAATTAATAGGAAAATGTTTGCTAGTTGTAATCCCACTAACGAATTTTTGGTTTTTATAGGCGTGATATTTGTGGGTTTACTTGGTTTGTGTGAATACTTAGGTATCACGAATTTTTTAAGCAGAGCCGAACCCCTTTACGGCTATGACGAATTGACCGGTGCAGTCAGCCGATTTTGGATTAAATTTTCAATGTCAACGTTTCGTTTTTTTCTTTTTTTTATTTTCAGGACCTTATGTATGGAAAAATAAGTTTCCTCGGGCGACCGGGAAGGCGCAATCTCCCATTAACATCGAAATCAATAGAACTATTGTGGTACCATCGGAAACTATGCCGAAAATAAAATTTTCCACAGAATATTACGTCCAACCTCAGGATATGGCAATTTATAATGATGGTCATACAGGTAAGATCAAAATTCACGTTTGAAGAAGGAAATTTTGCCTTATTACCACTATTATTTTTGGTAATGTCATTTAGTAGTACAAAAAAACTTTTAACCGTTTGTACCCGCAATAAAAGGTATTGTGCTGCTATTAAAATTGCATTATTTATTATAAGGTTAATTAATTTTTTATTGCTTTATAATTTTTGTACTAATCACCTATAAGTAAAGGATTTAAGTACTTTTTTATTATTTTTGACCCAAACAAACTTTTTTTCTTCAATTCGCGAAGGTTACGAAATTACAGTAACTTTATTAAATGTTACTAATTATGTTACCATTATTATTGTTGCGTTTTCAACTGCAACCTTTAAAGAAAAGTGCAACAAGTTTGCGAAGAAGAACTGACCGTTAGACAAGTTAAAATGTCTCAGGTGTTATTTGCATACCCTTGAAACAGGAACTTTCACCATATTAACTAATATAAAAACATTCAATTAACAAGTAACAAGATTCGAGAAGCGTGTTGATCATCGTGATTGTTGATGCTAACGTACGTGCTCAATAAAATTGAATTAAAATCACATGCTTCTAAAATAGTACACAATATCAAATATATTTTTGTTTACCAGAATACAAAAAGAGATGTAAACAATTTTTTGTTGATAATCAATTTACTGAATAACATTATTTGTTTTCGTTTACTTTTGTAAAGTACTGTATGTTGCCTAATTTGTACATATTTTAATTCAAAAGCTAAAAAACTGCTTGGTTCAGATTAAATGGTGCTAATATTCTTGCATAGAGACATATTCACTCTTACCAAAGCGTTTCTTCCATCTCGCACATTAATTTAAACAATCCATTTTAGTTGTCTGAATGTGTACAGTGTTGGGCGTTTTTTTGTGAGCTTTCGCGTTACATAACGGATAAAATTTGAACAGTAAAATTTATTATTTTCAAAGTCACACGTCGTAATCGTAACAACGATAGTATTCATAGCTTTTGCAATGGACTATTTATCGAGTGAAAAGGGTTGTATATTATGCAGTTGACGATTCAGTAATAATAAATAAAGGAACAGGATCAATAAATGGGGAAGCAAAACTAGAACTGCAGTTTGTCGTTAAGGTGTTAACGTGATACTGACGAGCAACTGCAAATGGGTTGCGAAACGAGACGGCTTACTGGGGAGCAATTTGGCCCCAATCCAGACAAGTGCAGCCTCAAGTTCGATTAAAATTCTGCGTTGTCTCTGCCCTGCCTCGGAAACTGCATTTTTCCAACTGAATTTCCTGTTTTTAATTGCTTCGTCAACATAATTCAGCTTTAATGCTGGTTAGTGATAATTACAATCGTTGTTTTATTAAAACGGAAACGGCAGTAAAAATTAAATTCAAATGCAAGCGAAAATTATCCTGTTCTGGTTTAGAATAAGTTGTAAAAATAGGTGGTTAAAAATAATTCCTTTATTATCGCAGTTTAAGTTTTTTTAATTTAAATAGCGAATAAAAAAGAAAATAATAATTCGGGAACTTATTTGTGTTGTAGTAATTTTGTGTGCGATGTGGGAGAATAATTGCCGGCCTACAGTGTCTGGCGGTCCCTTGTGCCAAACGTTTCAGTTTTTGAATGCGTGCTTCCGGTGGGGTGCTTGTGATGGGGAGGGATCCGAGCACACCCTCAATTCTAGGCGATACGTCATGGAACTGCAGGCAGCACACATCAAAGAAGGCTACGTTTATAAGAATATCGAAACTGCAGCCAGCGACAATGCCCTTTTGATGATCTCCTACTTTTTCGAAGTATGTCCACCCGTCTACCTAAATATTATTCTGAAAATTTATTTCTGAATTTTTACCCATTACAAAGTACCTCAAATTAATGAGGGAAAAATTGTTGTTGTCGTCACACCCCCGCCGGGAATCGAACCCGGAACGTTTGGCTTTACGCACCAATGCTCTGGATCCCGGGTTCGATTCCCGGCGGGGGTGTGACGACAGCAACAATTTTTCCCTCATTACTCTCAGGTAGTTTGTAATGGGTAAAAATTCAGAAATGAATTTTTAGAATAATATTTCATATTAAACGCACTCACTTCTAAAAGATGTCTAAATTGTATGTATGTATCTAAATGTTATCGACGAAAAATCGATTACGCGTTTTATTTAATTTCAGCTATCACCTGTTGACAACATATACATGGACCCGTTGGTGAATTCGTTGAAAAGTATTAAATTTCCGTTCTCTAGGGTGTGCATGGAGCCGACACCCCTGTCGTGGCTTATTCCGCCTTTTACTTGTCAGTACTTCGCCTATTGCGGTTCCCTTACTTATCCTCCATGTACTGAAGGAGTTCAATGGATAATCCAACCGGAACCCCTGTCAATTTCTTCCAGACAAGTAAGTACAGAATTACAAATTAAAATAATTAATATTTGCGTACCTCATTATATTGGTTTTTGAGCTTTTTGTCAAAAAATTTTTCTTTTCCACTTGTATTCCCTAAAAATTTAACGCCAGAGAACCGCTCGAACTCTTCACAACCACCTTCAGAGGTAACTTGAACGGCGATTTTCTTACTTTTTTTTAATGGAAATCTATTGACAGACAGACGAAAAGGGCGCCGGGAGAATAGATTTACATTAATTTATAAACGTGATGCTTTATTTATAATAAATAACTGATCAGTTTGTCAAAACAACAAGTTAATTTACATTTTAGATTTGATATTGCTAGGCATTTTGTACAATACCGAAAGAAAAACNTATATCAAAAGAATAATATTTTTTTATTAATTTGTGTAAAGATAATAATGTAATTATTCATATGAGATAAGGAATGATGAAATATGTTTTTTTATCGGAGCAGTGGAATTTTACTTGTAATGTGTTTAGCTGGGGTAAAGGTTCTATAAACAATGAATTAGAAAAAATGATACATGATGCAATATATCTTTACAGGTGAGAAAATTTCGAAAACTTTTGGGTGGAAATGATTGCATTATGGAATGTAATTCACGTCCGGTTCAAAGGTTAAACCACAGAGACGTATTCTTTTACGATTAAATGAGAGGGGCGGCTACCCTGCTAATTAAATTACTTTTTTGTATTGTTGTTCATTGTGTACATAAACGAAAATTATCGTAATTAATATAATAATGAGTTCTTATCATTTAAACTATACGTACTTTTTTACATAATCATCACTTTTAAAAGCTTAGTTAAGATCTTCCATCTGTTAGTAATTTCGCGAGCGCTTTTTTATGTTTAAATTATTTTACATATTTCAGCTAAAATAATACTGTAAGGTACCTATTTGACATTGCAAAAAGATTATGTGTAACTTTTACACAGCTTGGTTTTTAAAAAATTGGATAGCAGCTCCAAAAATGAAAACCGATATGCAAGTACGATGTCTGTAAGAAACAAAACTTTATAATTGATGCCATCAAAAATAAATTGCAGTTAGGACTTAAAAAGTCAATAAGACATAATTGTAGTAAAAGATATTTTTTTTATTTCAATTGTTATTAATACAGAGGAAATAATTTTAATTTGAAGTTACAGTTACCTTTGGTAACTCTTTCCATCGTTTTACATCTTGGTGGAGGCTGGAACCTTCTTGAGAGAGAATGGACACTATCATTTCACATCTGCATTCATGGTGAGTTCCATCTCTAACACACTATATTGTTAATCATTACTCTAATATTTTACTCCTATTCACCTTCTAACCATTTTACCCTTGTTCTCCGTTAGTGATCTGTGTTCTACCTTTGCATTTTTAAATTAAATAAGGTTTCAAGGGGCCATTACCTAAATATTTCATTACCACTTACCTTCCAATCGTTTTACCCTTGTTCCCTGTTAGTAGCCTATGTTATATATTTACATTTTTAAAATAAATAAGACTTTAAGGAGTCGGCAATTAGACAGATATAAAAAAGTCAATAAGATATTATTGTAGTAAAATATAACTTAAATTTTAANTCTACCTTTGCATTTTTAAATTAAATAAGGTTTCAAGGGGCCATTACCTAAATATTTCATTACCACTTACCTTCCAATCGTTTTACCCTTGTTCCCTGTTAGTAGCCTATGTTATATATTTACATTTTTAAAATAAATAAGACTTTAAGGAGTCGGCAATCAAACAGATATAAAAAAGTCAATAAGATATTATTGTAGTAAAATATAACTTAAATTTTAATACATACAGGTACAATAATTTTAATTTGAAGTTGCAGTTTCCTTTGGTAACCCTTTCCATTATCTTACTATTCTGGTAGAGACTGGATCTATTTTGGAAGAAAAAGGATGCTCTAATTCCACATCTGCCTGCATGGTGAGTTCCTTTGCTAACACACTGCATTGTTAATCGTTACGTAAATATTACGTTCCTATTTACTTACCTATCCTTTCAAACTTGTCCCCTGTTAGTTTCCTGTCTTGTATCTTTGCATTTTTAAGTAAAATAGGGGTTTTAGGGAGAATTACTTAAATATTTAATTTCTACTTCCCTTCCAACCGTTTTGACCTTGTTCCCTGTTGGTTACCTTTGTTGTATATTTGCATTTTTAAATTAAATCAGGTTTTAAGGGATCGGCAGTTAGACAGGTATAAAAAAGTAATTAAGACATTATTGTAGTAAAATATCATTTAAATTGTCATACATACAGGGATAATGATTTTAATTTGAAGTTACAGGTACCTTTGGTAACCCTTTCCATCGTCTTAATATCCTGGTAGAGA